TTAGTTTTTGATGTTGGTTTGAGTGACATGTTTATTTCATTGAGATAAACTTCAGAAGATAAAAATCTCAACTTCACCAAAGCACCTAACTTTTGATGCTGATTTGATTCAAATGCTTATTTCAATGAGATAAGCCTTCAGAAGTCAAAAATCTCAACTTCACTAAATGACTGCAATGTTGATGCTGTTTTGACTAACATGCTTATTTCACTCAGACAAGCACTTCAGAAGACCAAAATCTGAACTTCACCAAATGACTCAAGTTTTGATGTTGTTTAGATTAACATGCTTATTAGAGTCAGATACGCACTTCAGAAGACAAAAATCTCAACTTCAACAAATGACTTAATTTTTAATGCTGTTTTGACTAACATGCTATTTCAGTGAGATGAGCACTTCAGAATACCAAAACCTGAACATCACCAAATAGCTCAAGTTTTGATGTTGGTTTGACTAAAATGCTTATTTCAGTCAGATAACCACGTCAGAAATCAAAAATCTCAACTTCACCATACGACTTAATTTTTGATGCTGTTTTGACTAACATGCTTATATAGCTCAGATAAGCACTTCAGAAGACCAATATCTCACTTCACCAAAAATGTTAGTCTTTGATGTTTTTTTGACTAACATGCTTATTTCAGCGAGTCAAACACTTCAGAAGACTAAAATCTCATCGTCACCAAATGACACAACTTTTGATGTTGGTTAGTTTAAAATGCTTTTTACAGCGAGTTAAACTCTTCAGAACACCAATACCTGACCTTCACCAAATGACTCTAGTTTTGATGAAGGCTTGACTGACATGCTTATTTGAGTGAGATAAGCATTTCAGAAGTCAATAATCTCAACTTCACCAAATGACTGAACTTTTGATGTTGTTTTGAATAAGATGCTTATTTCAGCGAGTACAGCTTAGCAGAAGACCAAAATCTCAACTTCAACAAGACAGTCAACTTTTTATGCTGTTTTGACAACATGCTTATTTCAGTGAGATAAGCATTTCAGAAGACCAAAATCTGAACTTCACTAAATCTCTCAATTTTGATGTTGGATTGACCAACAGGTTTCCTCCAGTGAAATAAACACTTCAGAGTTGAAGAATCTCGACTTCACCAAATGAATCAACTTTTGATGT